TTAATTAAGTTGTACGTAGTTATATTAACTGTCGGGGTCTAGACAGGGGTTCTAGAAGAACCGCTGATTAATGTTTGAGTATTACATGGGTAACTGTGGGGGGCTAAACAGACCTACTATTTAAGGTATATTAAATAGTATTAGCCACAAACCTCTGAATAAGGATTAGAATGGCGAGTTTTGTGATCGTGGAGCCCACGCATAGCGGCCGCCGTGAGGCATCCTAAATAACATAGAATCTTAATGAACGAGAAAATACAGAGTAAAGAGTTAACTAGAATTATCAAATGTCAGAATAATTAGAGACCGACAAACAACCAATTTGCCTTTCAACCAAAATTCGAGGTCATACTAAAATGGAGTCAGATTGAGTTAAACCTAAATTGAATAACTCTGCGCGCTGAAAAGACCGAACACGCAAGTGACCTTCATCCACCACTGGATACCTTCATTGGGCCATGTGTGTGGACCTTACATATTTGCTTGCATTTTAAAGCCATATCAGTTTAAACTTCTGATATATGGTGTTCTGAGTGCATACAACTAAAGGGAATGCACAGAAAGCTTACTGTCAGCGCATCGCTTGGGTAATAAACTTCTCTTTTGCGTCTTATTGCAATTAAACTGTTAAATAAACACAAGGTTATGTTAAAAACACAAACAGTTATGTCTGTGAACGTAAACAGCTGGGAAAGAAATCACATGTGTATATTAGATCTGCTTTTTAAAATACATTTCTTTAAACCTGGCTCACACTACAGTATTTTTAGCCCGATTTAACTCCGATTTCCACCTCCCGAGAATCGGAGCAAAAATGTTGTCGAGCCCCTCAATCGCTCCCGATGTTTGGCGCGGATTATCTGGTAATGTGAGGCGTTCACCGATCGAATCTTGCACCTCCTGATCTACTCGCACACAAATCGGGGCCGCCCCGATCATATCAAACATGTTTGATATTTAGGATTGAAATCGGGATGATGACGGCTATATGATTACGTCAGTAATTTCACAATAGCCAATGTGCGACCGCAATACAGTGGCTGTACGGCTCTGTTGGATAGTGGAGACGGAAGAAACTGCTTCTTGACGTTTTGCAGTAACACGACTGTCTGTATAATGTGTCGAAAACGTATCTCATCCGTAAGGAGAAAGAGAAGCGCTGGAGTGAAATCGCCTCAGTTTTGAATGTACAGGGTGAGTGCAGAAAGCTGCTAGCACGCTAGCTAACATGTAAACATCACTGAAATATCAATGACAATCTGAGATCACGTAAGGCGCACACTCTGGCATGATAATCTTATTAATATCTTGTAGTGTGTGATGCGCCACGATGTTCAAATCTTGTAGTGTGTGCATTTTTAAGATTTGAAGGAAGATAATCTGCAAAGATTCTCCTTATGTGTGTGCTGCAAGCAGATTTCATAATCGGTTAGGATTTTAAAACTCCTGTAGTTTGAGCCCGGCTTTAGTGGCGTACCGTGTACAGGTCACTGAAGGGAGGAGCTAAGTTAATAAGGCAGAGATCGTTACCAGTCATGGGCCTGTTCCAAAGTGACGTCACTTTGGAGTACATCCCAGACCGACTTATTTTGGGACAACGTTTCTGACTTATGGGGAAAATAACAAACAGAGTGGATGGACCACAATAGGGTGGTTTTGAACACACACTGGGGACACATAATTATGATCAAAAACAATACAAAAGTGAATTTTGCATAATAGGTTCCCTTTAAGAGTGTAATTATGGCATGGAATGTCAGTGTGTAACCAAGTCCATTTGGACTAAATTTTCACATTTTCTGACTGAAATTTTGCAGTTTTTGAAAAACACTACTTTAAAAATCTATTAGTCTAAAGAAATATGTTTTCTTCACCTGTTGCTGTCCACTCTGTGTTTGTGGAGCAGCTGCCTGATTGCAGTCTCCAAAACAGAGAGCAGACGAAATGACAGAAGCAACACAATTGGCCAAATGTTGGTGACGTTCATTCTTATGTGAACAAACGGCATGTAACTACAGGCATGTCAGGATTTTGGACCAGTTTTGTTGTGTTTTCCCTCCCCATGTGCTTCCCTTGACCTAGTTCTCCTGTGTTTCATGCCCTAATTTGGTAGTTCCCCTGTTCCTAACCTAGTTTTCCCGTGTTTCATGCCCTAATTTGGTAGTTCCTCTTCCTGTTCCTATTGTGTCCCATTTTATTCAGCTGTGTCCCCTTAATTACCTCGTTTAGTCCCTGTTTCTTAAGCCCTGTGTTTGCCTGTATTCCCTGTCAGGTATTGAATGTCTTTATGTCCATGAATGTTCGTCGATGCTACGTGTGTTCCTGTCTGCCCTGTGTACCCCGTGTTGATGGATTAAAGACTGTGTTATTGAGAATTCTCCTGCGTCTCCGCGTTCTCGTTGCCCCTCGCTCCAGCACAGTAGCTGAGTCGTGACAAGGCATAACTGAGTTCAGAAAACATATCATTGTTTTGTTTACCTATTGTACAAAGCCAATAAAATAATTATTATGGCAAGCCTAGTGGTGTTGAGTGTAGCTGCTGGTGAAATGTACTCACTTGAGTATCTTCAGCTCACACAAAGGATTCTTCAGTCCCTCACAGATCTCTTTGACTCCTGAGTCAAGCAGACGGCTGTTGTTCAGGTTCATCTCTTTCAGGATGGTTTTGGAGGAGAGAACAGTAGCTAGAACTGAACAGCCTTTCTCTGTCAGCTTACAATTATTCAGCCTGAACACAAAAAACAGCATTATTTATTACACATCAGATCAGCGGGTCTTCATATCTGCTCCACATGTAACTGGAAGTCCTTTATAATGACTAAACAGAGATGTTATGATGTATAGATGATGTTGACTCACTTCATTTTCTCCAGTTTGCTATGAGAGTCCATC